ATGCCATTTGACTAAAAAACGCGCCTTCAACATTCCAGAGAATGATGGACCACGCGTTAGAAGGTTTAGTGGCAAAATATGCTTTGGTATCTGGATGACATCATTGTATTCTCACACAACTTTTGAAGATCATCTAAAAAGAATCGAAATGCTTTTTGATAGGCTGCGTGAGAAAGATTTAAAATTACAACCTGATAAATGTATCTAAAACCAGAACTCGCTTATTTAGGTCATATAATTACAGAAGAAGGTGTGAAACAAATCCTGATAAATTAAAAGCAGTTTCTGATTTTCCAACGCCTAAGAATCCAAAACAAATTAAAACAGTTTTTGGGCTCGCTGGCTACTACAGAAGATTCATTAAAGATTTAAGCAGAAGCAAAACGATTAAATGACTTGTTGAAGAAAGACGTTACCTTTAATTTCGTCAGTAAACAAGAGGAGTCTTTCAACCAATTAAAAGCAGATCTGTGTTCTAGCTGTGTATTGCAATATCCAGATTTTCTAAAGAGTTCATTCTTACAACAGATAGATCAGTGAGCCATAGGGGTATACTAGAACAAGAAGATAAGATAAAAGAACCGGCCGTATCTTTCACTAGCAGAACCCTGAATGACGCGGAAAACATTATTCTACAAGTGAAAAAGAACTTCTTGCTATTGTGTGGTGTGTGAAGCACTTTAGACCATATTTATATGGAAGAAAATTCGTGAATTTATACTGACCATCAACCACTCAAATGGTTAATGAACTTAAAAAACCCCCCTTCAAGACTGATGCGATGGAGAATTGCTTTGGAAGAGTACGAGTATGAAATTAGATACAAGAAAGGGAAGCTGAATGAAAACGCGGATGCTTTGAGTAGGAACCCGGTGATGATGACGACGACTCGACGCCTGGTTGGAGAAAACATTTCCAGTTCGTGGATGAAGCATCAGATGACGCCCTCCCAATAAATATGTCTGTCGGTGGACGACACTTCAGTTGAAGTCTCAGAAATGGAAATAACATTCAAGGAATTTCCATATCAATAGGACCGCATGTAACTAAAGAAGAATTTCGAAGATGTACTTGTGCAAGCTTTGTCTATAGTTGTAGCAGAAAGGAAGAATTTAGTGTACATTAACTTATCAAAATTACATAATCTTGTGCCACTTCCTAACAAAGAGACGGATAAAATCATTCAAGATGTATTTAAAGACCGTTAATTGTAGGTTCAGTTCGAGAGCAAATTAATTAGTTCACCTGAAACGAAGAGGAAAAACAACAAGTTATAGAAGCATCACATCTTGGAAAAGACAACGCCCACAAGGGGATGACGAAGACTCTGAGAAAAATCATGTTATCTCATTATTGGCATAATATGTCGAAAGACGTAAGAGAGTATGTAAAAGGGCCCAGTGTGTCAAAAAAGAGAAAGTGTGCAGGCAAAATTTACGCCCCCAATGCAAATCTCAGATACTCCAGAAACCGAAATGAAAAGATCGCGATTGATATTGTAGACCGTTTGTTTCAAACATTAATGGCAGCCGTTATATTTTGACAATTCAAGATTGCTTAACTAAATCCATTAATTTAATACCGCTCAGGGAATGCTACAGCACAATCTTCATTAGTAGTATTGCACACTAATCATTTCGCATACTACGAGATCTTCTCTAGGAGTATACTTAGTGATAACGGAAACACACTTTTATTGCAGAATTAAATGATGAGTTCAACTCCGCATTCTATATAAAGCATTTCACTGCCACGCCTTTTCGCCCGAATCGATGGTAGTTTAGAAACGATGCATGATCTTTAAAAAAATATCTTCAGAAAAAACAATAATGTACGCGAGAATGACTGGGATGAATTATTGCCATTATTTCATGATTTGTTAGCTTATTTCGAAAGACGTTCTATGATTCGGATCCGTACAGCAACTCTCTTGTCACCTCATGAGCTCTTGTAACTTATCTTGGGTGCCGACTGCGCTCCTACGAACGGTATGGGTTCTGGGGTAGATTAATACCAGGGAAGAGTTATTCATTAACACGCATAAAGATGTTCGCAACGATTGGCAATTCGAAGTTACAGGCAACCTGAACACGGTCGTCAAGAAAGCTTCTGAAGCTTTACGGATATAACAGAAAGAGAACAAAGTTAGAATATGACTGAAAATACTGTAGAACGTGGATTTTTTATATAAGGTTGATGAAAGTGTGTAGTTAAAGCTAACGAGTCACAGAGATTAGGAAAATCACCTACACCCACTTCGAAGCCCTTGAAATAATTGAGTGTACCAGCAATTGCAATCGTAAGAAATATTTAACAATGATAAATATGTAAGCTATTGCATTGTCATTCTAAGCATCAAGAGCGTTTATATTAAGAATATTTTACTGTGATACGAGGTCATTGGCAGCAGTCGCATTAAGCTGGTGCGAGGAGCCGATTGTAGAGGATTTTTAATGTTACGAATGTTTATTTGACGCAATGGGCAGCTGCAGGTTTATTCCATCAAGAATAGGAACAGATCGTTATCTACTATGACACCGAGAAGTTTATCGCTAGTGATACGCCTATATTACATAAGTGTCAAGCTCAAGATGCTAACTTTTCCAGACTGAACAAACCTCGATAGACTTTTATGTGAACAGGTTTACAAAGTGGCGAGATTATCGATTAAATCTGTTACTTCTATGGTATTGTTCATAATAATCATGCGGATGGTCAATTTCATTGGAGATATATCAAGAACTTTATTTGGCACGCCTCAGTCAAGAGGGACGCCATTTTGTATATATATCCAGAGAGATAAAATAATGAACAAAATAAAACTAGCCTGCGCTCTTAACTCTCACAATGAAACCCAATTCTTTAAAATCAACAGTCTATAAACCAACGGCTTTATTTAAAAAGTTCTATGATGAGACATTATACTTTCACTCGTACGATTCAATGATCATTAAATCAGCGACACAGAAATGACAGAATTAAAGCTCTATTTAATTTTGGGTAACTTTGTAAATATGTACGCAGAGTCCTGTTTAGAAGCTCGAAACTATAATCTTACATGCGGAACAAGGCAAGTCATTCCTGATCTTATACCTTATCAAATTGTAATTAGATGTCATTCAGCGAATTGCAAAACTTACGGGCAAAATCAGTTTAATTGCGGCGCCAATATTGGAAACTTTATTTTTATTTTTCAAGCTAGTACGATCATATTGCTGTATTGAAACAACGGTATATTTGTTTTGAGATACGTAATCCCGATTCTCGAGGAAACGCAATCCTGTGTGAATCCATCTTCTTTCTCTGCGGCCATGCTCTGGACCAAGTCCGACGACATTGGTCAACAAATCTTATATCAAATTGGAAACTCCGTTACTGTCTGTAATGGATTTAACATGCACATAGTTTATATACTGTCATCCTAATTTATGAAATTCAAGAATGTAAGAAAAATTAGAATGTCACATCATGCAAAGAAGAACTGTTCCAGGTTATTCTATTTTTTGCAAGATCTTGCTTAAGACTAGCGATGAAAACATTATCAGGTCCTGTAGATAATCTTTCGTCATGTAGGGTTAATTAGGTTTAATTACAATATGGTACAATTGTACGAAAATAACGTTTGGATTTGGAATATGCGCAAATACCAAGAACTTATGAGTCTCTTGCAGAAAATTGGGTTTCATGAACGGTGTCAAACGGGGACGTATTTAAAATTTTTTTTTGGAACCCCTGTGCTGTGTTTCTATTATCATCTCATGCACATTGTTATGCAAACTCAGAACCATCACAGGAAAAACTTAATTTAAATCTTGGACTCCAAGTTCCACCAAGTACTTTCCGATAATTTGACACTGGTTTATATCCGGAAATTAAAGAATCATTAATTATCTGAGATAGTTTTACAGAGTAATATTGAGAGATCTATCATCTATTTCTAATGAAGCAGAACTTTTAGAAAGTAAATATAGAAACTGAGTAAGTCAGAAAGTCAATGGAAAATTGTACAAATTAGCCTTAACTATTTTACCTTGTGTACTGTATTATATTCATGTTATAAGTTAAAGGTTTATAAGTTGATTAACTGTTGGTTCAGACCATGTACTAAAGTGTACAATAATTGTTTTAATTCAAATATTGCTGGATAGAACGCAAAATGTAATAAGTTGTGGGATTAGAGAGCACGGGCGGAGAAAATCAAGAATTGTTTCCTAGACATGGGCAAGGCTTAAATACGCCTTCTGCGTCACTCGAATTGGAGAACATAAGCGAAGCAGGGGTCAGCATTAGTAGATAAACTGAGAGGGTACAAATTATAAATTGAAAGATAAATTTCATTTGAGACGAATCTGCTCGAGGACGATCAATAATATCTAAAGGGAGGGTGGTGTTGCACGAGGCAGATGTCACGTAGGCCACAATGGTCAAGTCACCTCCTTTATGACCGCCGACCTCTTGAAGCACCTGACGACCATGTGAGGCACTGCGGCGTCTAAACGAAAGTACTTCAGCTATAGACAGAGAGTCACCGTAGGATATCAGTAACGGAGCCACCTCCTCCTATATGCGAAAGCACGCCCCTTGAAGCACCTGACGAATGAGGCACCTCACGAAAGTACTGCTATAGAACAGAGGTCACGGTAGGAACGGTGACGGAGAGCACACCCCGTGAGGGACCATGACTAAACTACCCCCCCCCTCGACCTACGAGGCCTCAGCTTTTGATTGTAATGACGCCTCATGCCAGCACACGCGGGAGTAAGTCACGTACGACTGGTATTTAAGCTCTGCGCCCATGTCTAAACAGTCAGATCAGCCACTGTCTCGCTGCCGTGCGGTTGCTCGCACGGAGTGGCCCGAGAGTCAGTATCTCGACTGTAACTTGTAAACTGTTTTTCAGTATACTGATTATAAATATTGTATAAGAATCGAGTAAGTTTTTCTGAGGAAACTCTCCGGATCCGTAACAACGTTGCCAGTAGTCGCCAGTAGGCCTGAGCCCGTTCACGGGCTGTGGCGCCAAGCACTAACATACATGCTATTAAAGTGATAATTGCATTCTCTTTGTAGTTTGTTGTATTTATTTACTAGTTCCGTCTACATGAAAAAAGTACAATTGAAATGGAGGGCCTGAACTGTAGTTGTCCGCTGCGCACAGTGTTGCCAGGTGGTCTTAAGCATTCCGCACTAAATAGCGCTGCAAAGCCACCAATCGAAAATTGAAATCGAAAAATTCAAATAATGATTATTTCATTTTGAAAATATATGAGGTGTTTGGAAATTAAAGAAATACGAAAAATATTATTCATTGTATACGATTATATTTATATTTTACAGCAAATACCTATATTTTTGTGCTATAAAATTGAATTAAAACTATTTACATAATAATGTGCACACTTATATATGTGTAATAATGTACTTAAACATTTATATTTCCGACATATCTAACATTTTTTCATCAATGTCATTCAGTTAATATGTTTGTTCGCTATTGACATAAAGATTTTGATTTGAATGAATCTAGTTAATTCAGTTAAGTTCTTCTATTTGTTTTTGAAAAAAAAAAGTTTCAAAAGTATAGTGTAAATAAAATCCCCAACCAAAATTTTACTAAAGGTCAAAACCCATCAAAGTTAGTGATAAAATCCTCCACCTGGCAACTCTGGCGGCGCACGCCTCTAATCCCGCTTGTCAGAGGGTTTGACGCGGCCGCCTCCGCCGCCGCACAGCCGGCGGAGCAGCGCGCGCGCCGCGAGCCACGCCAGCGCCGCCACCAGCGCCGTCGCCGCCGCCAGCGCCGCCACCACATCCAGCAACAGGTACTGCCACCAGCCGACTTCGAGAGCCGCCGAGCGCAGGTGGTGCGCGCCGCCGTGCCGGATCACGTACCTAAGAGTGAGCACGTTCAGCAACGCCTTCACGTCAACAAACTACGTAGGTAGGTGCATGTTTCGCGCATAGCAATTGCTACCCATTGTTACTCCTTAGCTACAAATTCTAAATAATAAACATCATTCAACACAATTATTAACTAAACAGCTAGGAAGATGCAACAGTGACCACCAATCACCACACAGGAAACAAAATTCTTCGTAAATGTTAAGTTAATCACGGCGACAAGTGGGTAACACACTTCACATTTATGCATTTGACATTCACTAATTATACAGACGGCGAGCTATTTAGAGACCGAATAATGTTTTATTTTTCTCTTCTCGCCGTTTTTCATAAGAAACAGTATTGTAATAGTGCTTCCATAAAACGGCGAATTTTCGATATACAAACTCATATTGCTGGGCGCAGGTAAAGGAAAACTGGCTGAATATTGTTAAAATATGTAGTAAATTACATCCACATCCGCGTTGGGTAGTCAGATCCCTTTTTGTGGATCTTTGATACCGAAAAATCGATTGACAGCAAAACGTCAATGTGCATTAAACGTGCGTCTGTCTGTGGCCAATGGTAGGGCCAAAATCGTTCAGCCCATTTTCTCCAAAATTGATATTCTTCGATTGATTTAAAGCAACTCGAGGCCCTGCGAGTTTGAAAGATATTTTGATTTTTGAGAGGTACTTTCCATGAAGCTACAAAATCATTTCCGAAATTTTCTACAAAATTGCTTAAATTTTCTTTATTAACATTTGTTCTGCATGTTATGCAAAAGACACTTCAAAGGACGGTGCAGGTTTACTTTAAATTTGAAATACCTGATTTTTTTGGAATTTGCATACGTTTAAATTTTTTTCTGTATATTCCTCCAAATACAATATTGAAGATAGAGAATTTTTCCTTTAATAAAACTTGTTTTTCAAAGACTTCTTGAAATAAGATCATGTACAATTGTTCGAAAATATGAGTCTTTTTGTGAGTATTCTTACATGAAATATAGGTAACTTTCAAACATGTTTTTGTATAAATCAGCTACACATTTTTTTTAAAAAAATTTTCTTCGTATGAATCAGAGAATGGTAAAAAATTGGCTTTAGTCCCATTTCCGACGAAGCCTGTATTTTCGAAAATTGCAAAAAGATAACATTTCATAAATACAAATTTGAATCAAGAAATGTATTTCGTAATCAAAATCTGTTCTAAAAAATCAGATCTTTAAAAAATAACACGAACTTTTTTTTTTAAAAAAGCCGAGTAATAGAGCTACAATTTCTGTTTAAGTCAATACAAACTATAAAAGAAAACATTTTCTCACAAACTATCACACATTTTTTGTTCAGTGTTTTTTCAACCCATAGAACAAGGGATGTCTTAAGGAATGGTGCAGGTCTTATTTTAGTTGCACTCTTTGAATTCTCGAAAATTGCAAATTTAAAAATAATGTTAGAAAGTATAAGCACTACGAACTTGTTTATGCTTGACTACACAAACACTGAATTGCTGTGAGCTCTGCGATCCTACTGTTTCATCCATTACAAACATGCAGAGTAGCAGTGGGCAAAAGTTCGCATAGGGTATAAGAGTCCGATTAGCGTAATTACTGTCTTCGAGGAGTGAAATTGGCACTTCTGCAATATGAATTTGAAGATATCTTGGCTGATGTTCTGCGTGGAGAGATTGATAGTTCCTGTGCAAATACTGTTGCGACAATGAAGTGATATATAATTTCAGCTTATACGATGTAATTTTGCAAGATATTGAAAATACGTTTACTATGTTAGCACAATAATAAAATTTACAATTAAGAGTATGAATGTGTGAAATGAAACCTATATAACGCACTGGTAAATACTTTCGTAGATGTCCGATACAAGGTACACAAATTAAAAGATAAGACATAAATTGACGGTTGGGGCAACGGTCCGCATTCTTGTGGAGGTAAGAGTTCTGGGGAGGAAGTTTACCCATTCGTAGAGAATTGTAGCGCATGTTGAAATTTATCCAGGAAGGGTCATCGCCCGATTCCAGATAGCGGAACTGTCTGGTAAATCGTACATGGAGAATTGTACGACTGAGAGGACTGTGAAAACTTTTGAGGTCTATGTCACTGTACCCATTGACAAATTCAAATTTGGGGAGGAAAACTTTCTTCCTCCCTTCACAGGTCACCGACCAGAGACCCATTTCTACACTGACACGCTGACTACGCTGACAGATGGAGAAGATCCTGAAGTACACCAGTCAAGTGATCAAACCATAAATAACTCATCGGAGCTATCGTCATCTGTAGTGAGCAAAGTCACAACACCCCCACCCCAAGGAACGTGATTCTTTAAATTGTGAAACTTTAGAGAATCGCCGAAAACAATATTACTCTGCATCGAACCTTATACTCATTCCAAAGACAGGATTGAATAGAAAACAAACGCGCGAGGAAAGAAGTTCACCATACTGACATCGTCACCTCACAAGACTGCACTTGAAATGAAGAAATAGCAGTCCAGAAATGCCAATAGAAAATCGCTTTGCAACTCCACTAATAAGAGAGGAAAGGGAAATAATAATAATAATAATAATAATAATAATAATAATAATAATAATAAACCAGTTGCCACTGAAAATACTTCGATATAGTTATGTCCTGCTTGCGAAATGTAATTCGAGTATTCTCCTGCTGAAGACTGGATCCAATAAGATTCGTGTATAGGGTGGTGGCATAAAAATGAACTTCCAATGAGGGAGGGCAAAAGTGATTTGTGTGAGAGTTAATGTATACAGTATCCGCTTTGAATTTATTACGAGATTTTGTTATCAGAAAATAATTTGCAATGGGAGACTTTATTATAACCTTTCAGAATCTACGTATCACGTTTAATCATTTACCAATAAGACTGGTGTTACATTAAGTTAATGGGAATGAGTCTTGTAAACACTATTATTTCAAAGGAAATTTCGATGTTTAATGTATATTTGAATTTTCGCCCCTTTAATGCCCCTCATCTGGGGCAAAAGTCCGAATACTGCACTTCCTTCTATAATGTTTTTTAAAATTAAATTTAAAGATACGCCATTCTTGTTTGGACAGTTTATTCTTCATACATTAATCATAGCTCTGTGAAAAACGTCACAATATGCCAATTAAACGAGTGAAAATTCATTTTTTTATAAAAGATGCGAACTCTTGCCCCTCTTTACTCTATGTAATCTAACCCTCTCGTCATGTTTAAATAAAAAAGACTACAGGCTTGTCACCTAATTTTTGTGCATTTATAAGGCGATATATTGGATAACACTTGAACATGGGGTGATTATTTTGTAGACTTTTTCTATTCTTGTAACTATCATAGGTCACTTGTTTCACAATATTTTACTACCTTCACCAAGGGTACCCTTTACAGTATTTTTTTCTATAAAAAGGTTTGATCACCCATTACGGTATATTCTTTCATAACTTAGACGATGCCACTTTCGAAGTAATGAAGGCTAGCTTTGGTGAAATAATTCTCATTTGTCTGTTTAATGAACTAATAATAGTTTCTGTTGTGATTTAACCATCCTTGTTCATTTTGTAGACGGTTCATTTCGAGACTGTCGGTTTTCTGTTTTGTTTTTTGTTATTTAAGGTCGCATCAACAGCATGCATAGGTCATTAGCGACCACTATTGCATTTAACGGAATTGTATCTGTGAATATTACATGTTATGGTGATGACAGGGGGTGACAAGACGAACGCAATTACAACCATACTCAAGGCGGGACCCGAAACCAGGATCCTTCGGTCTGAGATCGCTACGGCACTACTGCCTTAACAATCTCGGCCATTCGGACCAGCTCCTGTCGCTCTTTGTTTGGATAATCAAGAGAGTTTTTCAAGAGACGGACGAAGTGTTAAATTACGTAAACTTTGCCGATAAAGTACTAGGTGCTGTCGTTTCAGAGGCATTAAGGTGGAAGACCGCCTCGTGGGAGAAAGGCTGACGAATACATACTCCGTCCAGTAGACCGCCTCCTCCATGGGTGGGCGCGGGCGGTCGTGGAAGACGGCGGACAGGCGCTTGGCAGCCTGGCGGTACGTCGCGTCGCCCAGCACGCGCCGCAGCGTCGCGCCCAGCGCCTCCGCCGTCACGTCCTGCGGCAGTGCAATGCGCTCGACTGAGCGGCGGCCTCGCCAGGCAAATGGTTCGCGCAGACGAGCGAGGGCGAACGCCGCTCTCAGTTTAAGCAAACACAACAATTTTTACACCGATATTATTTGTTTAAACTGTAAACGCAGTGCTAGAATTTATGGATTCTAGCTTTTGCATGGAGGAGAACGCGCCAACCTGGAAGTTCAAGGCGACACCTATGCCGGCGGCAGCTGCCCTGTTCATGTTGAGCTGCTGGTCACCGAAGATGGGGATGCCGACGACGGGCACGCCGTGGTAAACGGCCTCCTGCGTGCTCATGAGGCCACCGTGCGTGATGAACAGCCTTAGCTTCGGATGCGCTACGCACACACAAGGAGACATTGTTTCAATCAAACGAGATGCTGTTTTGAGCAAAAGAAACGTATTTTGAAGAATTTCCTGTCTACTTAGTGGCGTTTAAGGTTAGACAAGATAGAAGAAAATTGTGTGGAAATTATGGGGGGCGAAGTGATGAATAATAGAATGGATTTCGTGTAGGAAAGTGCAAGAGGAGAATCGCAGAGAAGGATCTAAAAAGCGCGAAATGGAATAGTTTAGATTATTTTATGAGTAATCAACATGGGAACTCAACTCATTTGACTGAGTTGGCCCGAGAGACGCAGCATTGAGAAGTGCCCTTTACGTATGCAGGCCAAGCGACGCAGTACCCCGGTGTAGTGTATATATTCCGGGGAACACATTCCATTCTCAGAATGGAGTCCGAAAGCAAAATTGCCTCTGCGGCCGAACCGACCGCTTTCGTACGGAAGCAGAATAGACGCGTTCATGTGCATTCTATTGAATCAATACACATGAAACTTTTGTGATAGCTTCCTTTAAAGCTCAGGAGTACTATAGGCTGTGATGTAAAACCATAAACATTAATATTTTTACAAAATAATTCTGGACATTTTTCACCTAGCTTCACATCACAGATTCAGGAGTGCATCAATGTCAATAGTTTAGCTGCGCGCCACTAGAGGAGAACATCTGAGATCTACTACTGATTTCATCAATGCACAGAATTTCGTATTTAGAGGACTGATTTCCTCTGTCAATTGTTTAATATGAAATATTTCTGAGTTTTCTCCACTTTATTTATTACAGTAACTTGGATATTGATTTTAATTGCGGGTAGGAGTGAGTGCATTACGTGTACAAGAGACGAACAATTTGGAAGATATCATTTTGTGATGGATATGGTTAATATTGTCGTAAAAGTATGATTGCATGTTTACTTGTAGTAAATTAAGCATAATTATTAGGTATTTGTAAGTTCGGTGGGCTGCAGTGCGAACGAAAACATTATGATCTATGTGTTATTCTGATACTGATGAATGGATGCACTTTTGTAGATAAGTTTTTTAATATAGTGGAGTGTAAAAACGCACATTTCGGTGTTGAAGGAATTATTAAATTGATGGAAATTCGGAAAGAATATAATTAATAGTAAAAGGGCAGTATAATTAAAGTAAATCAGAATTGGTAAATGGGTATTTGGAGGAATTAAATGTGTGACAAGGCTGGTTTTCATGGTTGTTATTTTAGATAATAGAAAAAAGTTTTGTCAAACCGGGATTCACTGAGTGATTTCGGATTTTTGGAGATATAATTGTCTAAGTGGTTAATAGCTCCGTTACGTCCACTATTTATCAAGGATCCTAAAACACGTACTAGAATTCAATTGAAATTACTTTATTTTTAAATGTTGATTGACGCGACAAGATCAATTTCAAACGTTTCTCCATAAATGCGTTAGAAGAAAGAATACGTTAATACGTTATACGAAAAACAGTCAGTTTTATAATGTGGCAATTCATTGAAAGTATTGGTATAATATATAAAATTTTACAAAAATAATATACCTGAATACCAGCATTTTACTTTCTCGCACTTCAGTACTTTTCGTATTTTCTCGCACACTAACGTAAGAAGAGAAAGTATTGTAATCGTGCGCCGGGAAACGGCGAATTTTTGGCACAAAAAACCTTATTGCCGAACCTGGTAACGAAAAAGCGTATACATCCAGTTCCTAAATATAGACAAAAAAACCTTTTACACGTGGTGTTTCCAGAATCCTTTTTTGTGGGTCCTTTGTACCGAAAAATCGTTTCACGGTAAAACGTCTGTCAGTCTATGCGTCAAACATCTGTGCACATCACTAGCGCATAAACTGTTCTGCCGATTTTCTCCACAATTGTTATTCCTCAATCGTTCTAGTTGATGTCGCGGACCCTGAAATTTGAACTCAAAATTTTAATTTTGGGAGGTTCTTTTCAGAATTTTCAAAACAATGTCTCCAATTTTTTTTATTCAATTTTGTTGTTGAATAGTACAAAGTACTTTTTACAGAATGGTGCACATCTCATTTTCGTTGACATCCCGATTTTTTCGAAAATTGGAGAAAACAATTTTAAATCTTCAAAATTGGAGATAGGGTTTTTTGTCTCAGACAAAGTCTGTTATACAAAATTATATCTTCAAAGAAGGTGATGTACAAGTTTTTGCGAAAACGTGTAGTTTGTGCTTATTTTGCGATTGAAGTTTACAAAAAAAGTTTTTCTCAAAATCCGTTCAAAATATTTTCACATACGTGAAAGATAAGAAATATAGCGTTAGTCTTATTTCCGGGAGTTACTAGTTTTTTTCGAAAATTGCAAAAATAATTCACAAATACAAAATTGAAAATAGAGATTTTTGTTTTAGCCAAAGTCTGTTTAAAATTAGATCATTAAAAAAGGTCATGGTCAATTTTTTGAAAAAACGAGTAGTCTTTGCGTTATTTCTGGTTGAAATTAATGAAATATTTACAGGTTCCACACCAAGTACGGGCCTCAAGAAAAATTTAGAGAATGATATGAAAAATAATTAATTTAAATTTAATTATAATTTCCTAATGAAAATGCCAATATTAATTCTATTGTTGCTTTGTCGCACTTTTACTTTACTTAACAATTACAATTTGTATTCTCAATGTATTGATGTACAAAACGAAGTTGACGGTCTGCGTCTGGTCACGGTATAATGGCTTTCATCGTTCCTTCATACTGGAGGCAAGTAACTCTTAACGAGACGTGTTATTTAGGCCATAATTCATAAAACTATAATATTGTCCAGTATAAGATATCATGTGGATATATAACTGTGGAGTGCAACACTACCTAGAAAATGTATATGTAGGTGATAGTATATCCAGGCGATTAATTTGGAATATTTATTAATTTGAGCGTTTCTTTCAGGGCCAAGAGACCATTCTAAGTTCTAAGATTTATCTTGATGGATACGCACGCGGTGTTACCGACTTATATTTTTTTAAATTATAATATACAAACTAAAAATGGGCTATTATATCCCTTATTAATGTTCATTGATTGTGATTTATTTTTTGTATCTTTTAATTAGACACAATCATTGAATGGATTTAAAGCGTCACTTGAAAACATATATATTTGGATTCCATGGTCACCATACTTCCACCCACTAGTAGTAATTTCGCCTCATAAGGCATCTCTATACTGCACAGCTCCAGTTTTTTCGTTGCGTCAGAAAGAAATATTTCGAGTTAATGATTAAATTAGAAAATCTGAAAGAATTGAAGTGCCATTCGTTAAATTGCTTACGTCTGAATTTTTTTCGAATATTTAATTATTTTTGAATTTAAAGGATGAAGTTCTGCAGGTCCAAGAAACTATTTGTCAGATACTACGTTTTTACGAATTGTAAAGTGATTAACATTAACATATTTAAAAATTAATTATTTGCAGCGATGAGAAAATAAAACATTTGTTTAAGGTAATGAATTCGTTGTTTCAAATGCATTCATAATGGGTATATTAGATGGCATTCATTTCTGGATGTACCCTTTATTTGTGAAGTTATCGTTCTTTGTCTGTATGATGTGCTGGAAATAAACAAAAATGTTTATAACTTTTTTCGTTCGTTTTCTGTTTTATTTATTTTTTTAACCAACGTAGCAAAGATGCAAAATTTTAGCAGGCTTTACTCTCCTCCAGGGCATCTATAACTTTTTAATTTCTTCATAAATTATGAAGAGACTGATGACTGAAGAGATGTTTTTTGGTTGTAAATCGTCATTTATAATAAAATAAAACATTTAAGAATAAAGTTACAATATCTTGTGGACATGGCGAAAAATAATTGTATGTATTCGAAAGAAGCAAGTATTCCATAAATATTTTTAGAAGAACTGTCATAAAACCGCAACAATGCAAACTGAAAAACAGTTCTATTTGTGGCAAAAATGGTGCTTTTAGCAAGAATTGATAAGAAAATATGTGGCCATTGTTCGTAGCTTCCATCGTTACATGCGCGCTTTGTTTGACTGAGCGCTTATTGACTGATGATGTGCTGATATAGACAGAAATGAGACATAATATTATTACATAACAGTTACTAAGGGCGATGAAGTATGTGCTGTTATAGTATATGTTAACTACTTTTTAGTTTAGATTTGTTTATTATTTTTAGTTACAAATTGAAAGAAGTTTGGGGTCGGGAACCCCAATAGGAATAAAACTTATAGTTTTTTTTGTAAGAAAGTGTTTTAGTGAGTACGGAAGTTAGGGTGATTCCAGATTGGAGCATGGCAGGGAGAGGTTGGGAGGGGCGGTGGGATATACAAGAGAATAGATAGAAATACGACTCCGCCAAAGGGCGGAATTCTAGAATTCCTCTTTTGTTTAATAAAAAGTGTTAAGATAGTACTTATCGTAGTATTTATCTTAACACTATATATATATATATATATATATATATATATATATATATATACACACACACACACACACGAAGGGGTCAGACTGTAGGGATGACGTAATGTTACCCCTCCAGGAGAGGCCGCTCATCCCTTTTTGGTTAGAGACGTCGAAGAGTTCAGACGTGCATAGGGAGCTAGTCAGTGAGAGGTGTGAGACGCCATTTTGTAGAAAGTACGGAGCAAAGTAATTGTTCATGCGAAAGAATGGTACGATAGGTGAAAATTCGGCCTTCTCAACTGTGATTAACTAGGCGAGGTATAATATTTCATAAAGATTGGAATGTAGTGGATATAGTAATAGGCGGAATAGTGGCCGCGAAAGCCAGAACTACGAGCTGTTGCGACGCGTCAGTAGAACTGTAGAATTAGCTGCGCGAAGTGTTGTAAAGAACGCCAGAAAACCGATACGCCGTAAGAAAACACGCGTAAGGACTTTGAAATACGCGTCGGCGTGCCGCTTACGAAGAGCGGCGAAGAAAGAAGGAGACGAGGATTCTGGCCAAGTAGCAAGACAAAAGAAGATGGATCTGTTGGCAGGAGAGAGACGACGGTGTTTTGAGCGACATCGCGGACGGCTGGTCTGCGAGGGAGCGAAGCGACGATAAGGCCGGAATTGGGCCAAGGTGGCATACCCAGCTGCAGCGCGAGCGCCGGACAAGGTACCGAGAATATTTGTAACGGGAATTGAGGGCTGGGGGCGAAGTGAACGCGCTAATGTAGTGACAGAGAGACAGAAATAAGGGGAATTTGAATAATAAATTAGAATTTGTGACGGTCAGTATTATTGCAAAGGAGAACCGCAAAAAAGCCTTGTAGTTCATGTAATGTTTCATTCCTGTGAGAATTCCTGAGGAAATTCATTGTAAATATTTTGAGCACTATAGTTAGTAATTATGTTAAATTGCTGAGCGTTACGATGAAAAAAGTGAAATTCATTGGAAATTGAGATGTAACTCCCTTTGATTCATGTTTTGAGCAAGTAAAGTTAATGAATAATTTGCAAACATTTGCTGGCCAACCATTGAGTAATTACCGTGCACGGGTTGCAGAGAAAGTTGTAAATTTCAGAAACCAACAATGTTTCAAAGTTTTTAAGAGTAGTATTTTATTGATTTCTGAGTTTATTCCAGAAAAAATTCCATTTTGATATGATTTTGAGTGTGTTATGTGAATATTTCTTTGTGTTCTCTTCAGTGTTTTGTAAAGTGATTTGACTGTTTAAGAATATTCGCAATGATTTTAAACTATTTCTGTGCCTTGGAAAAACTTTCTCATACCCTAAAGATTCTGCCCCCTGAGATCACATAGCTCATTACGAGCATCCATTCTGTCGTCCCAGCTGTTAAGTCTGAGTGGGTCTTAGGTGGTAGCGGGAGTCAGAATATATGCTTTTTCTACTTATTCTTTCCCATTCTTTCATTCCAACGGTACAAGGAAAATCTCGGTAGTTTCCTCGCCATTACTCTGTGTACATGAGCGACTTGAAGGGGGGAGGGACAATACCAAGAATGTCCTGCTGCGGCAGCCACTTGGCGAGGCGCACGTTGGGCGGCTGGCCCGGCAGCGTGTCCTCCTCCCACTTCCAGAGCACGCGCTGCGGCAGCGCGGCGAAGGCGCGCAGGAAGGCCTCGCGCTTGGCCGCCGGCATGTCTGCGCTGCGCAGGTTGGAGCCCATGCTGAAGTAGATGAAGCCCTCGGCCGGCGCCGCGTCCAGCCACGCGCGCAGCTCCTGCAGCACGGCACAGCCTCCATTAATTACTCGGACGTCAATTCAATTAGGTTGGCGAAATTATTTAGCAATTAAATAGTTCTAAACGGTGACATGTGCTTATGTTGTAACCGATTGTTGAAGTACCAGCTGAAGAAAGGTCGGGTGGCGCGCGCTAGAGAGAGAAACGGAGTGAGGCGGAGAGAGAGAGAGAGAGAGAGAGAGAGAGAGAGAGAGAGAGAGAGAAGCAGAGGGATAAGCAGAGAGAAAGGGAGAGGGAAAGAAGAAAATAAAGGGGGAGAGAGGAGAAGAGAGGGAGAGATAGGAAAAGACTGGGAGAGGGAAGAGAGAGGAAGATGGACAGAGGGAGGAAGGAATGGAGAGAGAGGGAGAGAGGAAAGGAGGGAGTCCGCAGGAAGCATATTTTTGCTTTGTTGCGAATTTCTGGTTACTCTTTCTCCCTCTCTCCGTTAGATCCATCATTAGGAATTTCTTAGAAAAGGTCTTAATACCTCCCTACCTGCAAAAGTTGAGAACAATTAAAAGGCAATATTTCTGACGAGTTTTTAAAAAAATACACTTGAGATCCATATTTTTGTTTCATTATTAGTTATTGACACAATTGCAATTCTATTCTCTCTTTAAACTACAATTGAGTGGGTAGATCCCAAAATGGTTTAAGTGACAATTTATAAATTCTGTGAAAAACTTGTTTATTTTGTGCTATATTTCAGTGGCCGTGTATTTTCATGATTTTAATGAACAGTAGAAATGCCGTGGTTTTAATGACCAAAGAACAAAACGTCACAGCTTTACAGTAATATTGACTTAAATAAACAGATTTCTCAGAATTTATAAAATGTCATTTGTACCATTCTGGTACAAATCATCCATTCAACTGTATTAAATAATATAGTATGATAAATAAAATATTTAAGGTTTTCCCTCTTTAAACTACAATTGTCTCGAATAATATGGTATAGAAAATAACATATTTAAAATATTACTTTTATTTCAAAATAATGTATAACGTAAAGTTAACTGCAAGACTTGTTTTTTTATTGCATCTTCAGATTGTAGTAATTTGGATACATTTTGATTTGCCCCCTCTCCCTCCCCAACTTTTATTCCATATTAAACTCAGACGTAAACGCAATAGTCGTTGATACTGTAACGTTTCTCGGTGGTGAATTGAAACCAACACACAAGTATTATTTAAACACAAACGTTTATTTCGAAACAATTATACACTAAAAACTACTTGATCTATTTACAAATATTATACAGCTCTTGGGCTCTTCACTTCCTTTTTTTCTTATACACGATTCCGTTCTCTTGATTATTTATTTACAAAGTTCTCGTCTGATTATTTATTTACACTGTTCTCTGCAATCTGATTATTTATTTACACTGATCACTTCTTCTACAGTATCACACAGTCCGCTGCACTGTCCACGGTCCACTGCGTTGACCACAATTCCCTGCGCACACCAGGGTCCACTGTACTGCTGTTTACCGCGATGCGCACTTCACAGCTTCCCCACTGCAGACTTCAGACTGCTGACTGCTGTTCACCCACTGCACCACTGTTCACCGCAATGCACTTTACAGCACAGCTTCCACTTCAGACCCATTGACGGACTACTTACACTGGCTTACACTGACATACTTACACACATCGACTTACACTAACGTACACTGACTGACTTGACTTGTACTGACTGACTCGCGGGCGCCGGCAGCGGCGCATTTATATCTGGCCGGCGATCGTCTCGACACAACCAGCACTTTCTCCGCCTTTCCCCACGAATAGTCCGGAACCGTCCAGTTCTGGGGGAGAGGAAGGGGCGTCGGCAGATGACGCAATCCGCGCGCAGGGAATTCCGGCAGGTGATGCAATATTCGTTACAATACTCACCCAGAAGTTAATATTTGTAGCTGTTCAATTTTTACTTAATTTTATAAAAATATATAGTAAATAATAAAAAATTAAAAACTTAAGTATTAACATGTGAATCAAAGGTACATGCGGGTGTTGGCGATGTACAAGGTAGAAAATAAACACATTGATAACTTTTGTATCAACATATAATACAAAGTGAAATAAATTATCTAAAATACAAACACATTTCTTTTTATTACAAATCGAAGGAGACATCAGCTTCGTCGTCACCCGTGCAGTCTGCGCTGTCACTGTCATCGCCACTTTCTTTTGACGAAGTGTTATTCACATTTATAAATATTGGGTCCATAATGGCATCCCTCAAGGAATCCCAATCTGCCTGCGTCACATGATCTACCGCCTTGTGTGTAAGTTTTTTCACGTCTGCGATTTTAAAAATGTAGTTATGTCCTTCACGTACCCTTTCACTTACGCCCAAATAGCCCAGCTCTCCTGTATGGATGCGAAACATGAGTAACAACATGCAGAGAAAATAGGAGAATTAACGCAGAAGAAATGCAATTTCTGAGGCATGTGAAGAGCTGCACATTAATGATCCATATCAGAAATCAGGGTATAAGATAAGAATGAAGAATTACTTACCAGCTCGCAAGAATAAAAACATTTAGGAAAAAAATGGATATGCAAAAAATGAACAATGAATGATAGCCGAAGCAGGCCATTGTTTTATAAAGCTTGAGTTTGGTTTATTTTCGTGCTTTCTTTCCCAATGTTCCTTTGATAGTGCCATCATGATAGGCCTGAAATTTAGATATTTTTTGTTGCACATCAATGTTATTAAAATATAGTAACTGATTTTCTTTTTCTGACTGATATTTTGCGATTAGATTTCATGGCCGTCTTTTGTAATTTCAATGTTCACTTATTGAAATCAGTTTCACAATTTTGAGCAAAATATATCATCTGTAAACAAGAGTGTGTTGATTTTAGTATTGTATTATCTCCTATTGAAATAATTAAAGATGTTGTCATTGCCAACAATGTTTTTTAATTCAAAAGCAGCTTTCGATGGC